TCATCAGGTTCCGCCTGCTCCTCCCATTCTTTTCGCTCCTCGCATCCCTAAGGCTCGGTCCGCTCTATCGCTTCGCATCCTCCTTCCTCTGCCAGCTCTTCCCCCTCCTTCCGCTTCTCTCGCTCCTTCCACTCACTCTTCTTCGCCCGTTTCTTGTTCTCCTTCCACCCCAGTCACTCTGCTTACAACAACCCTTTTTTCTTCTATTTAAAAAAAAATCATGGTCGTTAAAATATTCGTGTCAAATTTGGGAGCAAACAATTCAATGGTTCGAGAGTTTTGGGAGCGCAATGATTTTTACATATTCTCACTTTTATATAATAGAAAATAACATTGCACGATGAGTAGTGTCTCATCTAACTTACCGGATCAGTATCATGCAAAATGAGAACATAGGTTTGAGATGGAATATGAAGGGGTAGGCAAAAAAGAAAATCGCAACTTCTTTCATTTCTCATAACTACTGAGCATTATTAAAGGCTATAATTAGTGGATATATATGAAAGCAATCTCCAGCAATTACCTGACACGGGGATCTACATAAAAGTCCATACTTTGTAATTATATGTTATGCATTATGTTTTAGGGACACAAAAGACTCCAGTATTTTCTGCTAAAGGACTCAATATACATATACAAATTTTGGTAAATATAAAACATTTCAATTACATATTTAAAAAACATCTTTACTTATATGTAACTCTGTGTTCATAGATCTCCAAAATATGTAAATCTCTAAATTCGTTAGTCTTGGAAAATAACTACTGAACGCCATGAAATAATATTTTTGAAGTTGACGTTTTGACATACTAGATAGTAGTTTTATGTTGTAACTTTTTCAGATCTTTCTTTTGTGTGGTGAAATTTCATGGGTTTAGTTAGTTTTTATTATTATTATTATTATTATTTAAAAGGTCATAGCGATGTTTGTTACAGAAGTAGCAAATTTGGCAATGGGCGCAGTGATATATCTTTCCTGATTTCCAAAGAGCATACAGTGAATTGATAATTTGTAAGTTTAAAAATAAGGAACTACGCGTTATCAAGATATACTCATCAGACTATTGTAGATTTATGTCAAACAAGAACGCTAATAGTTCGGGAAGAAGAATCATTCATTGTATAATTGCAAATAAACGTCAATGATGCTCAACGAAATGGAATAAAAATGGTCATGCGAGGTAGACGTATACGCAAATGGTTAAGGGATAAATAATGGATATGAATCTATAAAAGTGAAGAAAGATCGGGGGAAAATAGTAGTGTCATTGTTTGTGCAAAATATCTCCCGTAAATGTACTAATTACATTTAGGTACTACTGTATGTTTTAGTGTTAAACATCTTGAGGATATAAAACGTCTTTGTTCATGAATTCATTGCACATTAATGGACGGGAATGTGGAGCATTAAACGAATGAATAAAATTCCAAATTACAAAACTATGTTCTCATTAGCGCTGCAAAGCACAGCGAATCACATAATGCAATAGCGAATGGTCAAACGATGAAAATATCCATACCAAAAGGGGTAATCTCAATCATGAAAATTGTCTAAAAATTGTGAGGAGTCGCAGCGTAAAAAATATTATAAATTTGGTTCAAATTCGTTGAAAACACATTTTTACAAATTCCAATGAAATGTTTTTCTTTTCTTAACATGAAATATATTTTCAAAGAAACTTTATATCAGTTAATGAGAATGATTTGAGGAGTGAAAGGGGTCATATTGGCGCCTCCCGAAGCAGGGTATCAGTATTGCACCTTATAAATATTCTGTATATAGTTTAAAGTTTGTAAAGGTGCGAAACACTATAAAATTTGGATAACAATTTAAGATTCTTAATCTAATTTTTTCTTTAATATTGTGACATACCATTAATCCCCCTCAAGGCATATGATAAAATAGGAAAATGCATATTACTTTAGAATTGCATACTAACAGTGTAGACCAAGGGATACTCGTCAGAACAACGTGTCAACAAACTTTGTGCTCCGTCTTTAAACGTCTGCACGCGATATTCTTGTGCTAACGAATCCCCGGGACATGAAGTTGAATAAATGACAAGACGGTTTTGGAAATGGAGGTTCCGCGATTATTTAGGATGAGTCAGTTTCTTTCTTGGCAGCAATAGAAGTGGACAGTGCTAATTTTGCAGACTCAGGCTGGGTAACATTTTGATGTTAGGAAACGGGAAACTTACGTTAATTGTGTGATTTATTTATGTTTAGTATATAATTTTTAATTCGAGGGTATCAATTTTAGCTTGTGTTGTAATAAGTAATTTTGGGGATTCATGTAAAATAGACTTCGTACGTGTAAAATTAGTGTAGAATAGATTCGTAAATGGTCATTGAAAATTGTTTTAAGTTACAAAAAATGGCAGACAGTCGCGAGTAGGCGCTTCATCCGAGGCACAGGAAGGGAAAGTCGCGTTCGTAGACTGTATTAATTGAATAGAT